CACGCTTCTAAGTTTCCTCCGTGTTTTTTCATGGCATGATAGCTTATTTCTTTTCTTGCTGAACAATATTCCATCACAAGGTAGTACCATAATGAATTCAGTAATAGTAGTTTTTAAATGCCATTACTGAATAGCACTGGTTATTTCAGCCCCAAGCAATATAGGCTTTTTCTTCTCCCATGGGTCCTTTGGTGGTAAAGAGGTGGTGAGACCCCACGATGTAGCCCCACTCATCTTAGCAGCCTGTGGCAGCTCTTGGATAAAGGAAGATGACATATCACCCAAGAGTCTATGCTTAATAGCAAAACAAACAGGAAAAAAAACACAGTGGTCTCGCATTTCATCCTTTTTTTTTCCCTTGGCATTTCTACTTTTTATGTTTGTGCTGAGTATTTCTGCCACCCAATTATTTTAATAAGAGGACAAAACCAAACACACTTTAGTCTTCATCCTTTGTCTTCAGGTCTTGTTAATGGCAGGAAGCCCTGCTGATGGGCGTGTTTCTCTCTAGATAATTGCAACTCACCGGCAACGGCCAATGGCTGAAGTCTGATTTCAAACATGTTAGCAATGCTTCATTCCCCCCCCTCACCCCCCTGCTGCCAAAGCTGTCTAAAACCTTTCCTTTGAGTTATCAATTTATTGGTCTTCGTCCTGACTACGCTCACAGTGGGAAGGCTTGTGGAAGGGACATGTCTCTCATTCAAGCAGAGCCTCAAATGAAATACTGGAGGTGCTGTGGCCTACAAGGAAGCAGTGATTTCCTGTGGGAGGAGGTGGCAAGAGACCCAGGGACTAAAATGCACAGCTTGCATCCTTGGCCATCAGATTCCCTGGTGAAGCAGCATAACCACCAGGATAAAAGCACAGGCCTAGGAGTCAGGAAACCACAGACCAATTTCAGTACCTTGAGATGGTTGCCACTAAGCCAAAAGACAATCTGCCTCTTCCCTCTTACCAACAAAATAGGGACAGCACCTGTTCCAGAGCCACAGAAGGTCCAAGCTGGGATGAACTTGTTATTTAAGTGAGGCACACCAAATCCAGAGAGGATGGTATGACTTACACAAGGTGGTAGAGTGGGATGGCAGAGTCACAACTGGGTGACAAACTGCCTTCCTTTTAGTTCTGGTAGTTTCTTCATTGTCACATGTAGTGAAAGTGTTTGGAGAAGAGCAAAAGATCAAAGGAAGCCACTGCCAGTGTATTCCTTTTTATCAGACACCTCACTCCTGTCCTACTCTAAGGCAAGCATCTCCCATGACAGCAGGCTCTTGGCAAGTATTAGCCTGTCACCAGCACTGCCTGATTGTGCTGCTGTCCAGGGTAACAGAGCCAGGGATAAAACAAGCTGTTGGCCACCTCCCATCTCCAGAGCACCAGAATTGTAAGCCAGGAGATATCACACTTGTTCCCATTGTCCCCTTTACACTTCCACACTTCAGTAGCAATAAACAATGAGGTTTCCTTAGGAGAGTAATCCACTAAGCACTTAAAAGAGACTCATTTGGCTTTTGCTTCAACAAACCCACTCCAAGCTTTAGTTCACTTGGCTTCCAGACCTTTTGTCCTCTAACTGGTTTAAACTAATGTGAAAACATATTCCCAAACAGCCTCCAAAACAGATTATTACCAACAGACTGGAGAATGACGTCAATGGAGGCTATCTACATAAGTGGAACAAGCCGAAGGATCATTTGTGTGGCTTCAACCATGGAGATGGGTGTTATCCACAAGGCTGAATTCATGATTGCAGAAGTAAGCAATTTAACCTAGTCCTTTCTTGATCCAGGCTCATGGTGGGTCCAATATTTTCACTTCAAGAGCCCTACCCCCACATACACACACACACACACACACACACACACACACAGATGGCACAGCCACCTCTGCTTTGGTGGTCTTCTCTGGTACACAGTCCATTGGTATAAGCATCTACCAGAAACAACTAAGCTCTATGTATTTTTATAAGAAATGAGTCAATAATTTTTTATTTCTTCCCACACTCTCCCATAAAAAGAATCTAGAGAAGGGGAGCTACAGTCTTAGGTTAGTGACTTGCAGACTTGATCCAGGATAAAAAGAGCTCAAGTGGTAAGTATGAACCCACCACCAAGCCATTAATCAGAATCCTCCTGCCAGACTTTTCCCAAGCCCAATTCAGTTTTAACAGGAGGGGTGCCCTTCATAGTCTCCTCCAAATTTCTCTAACTGCCACTAATTCAATCCCACTAATTTAATGATGCCCTGGAAACCAGCCTGCCCCTCATCAAGCATCTAACACTTCTCATCACATCACCACTACAGGTAAACCTCCCTACCACCATACCCAATGCTCAACTCCTCTACCATCAGCCAAGTCAAAGCCCAGCCACACACATCAGAAGCTTCCTGAAGTGCTGACTTATTTTAATAAGTATTTGCCCCTACTTTATCAAATCTATCATTATTAAGTGTAGAGGAGAGTCAGAAGAGAACTCTTATTACTGTGATTGTATGGTTTGTTATGAGATATTGAGTGAGTCAAGTTCCCTCTGAGTCTGTTTTCTTATTTGCAAGCTAAGATGGTTGAACTAGAAGACCTCCTTTGTCTTATCAGGCTCTGGCCTCCAGTGGGTCACTTCTCACCTCATCCTCCTCCCACTCCCTGATGGTAGGAGGTCAGGTGTTTTTACAGTGAGCTTCTGGAAATGAGACTACTGCATATGAGACTTAGAACTCACCAAACTTGAGTCCTTGGAGTTGGGAGGGAACTCAAGCAACCCTTGCTTACCATGCCTTCAGGCTGCTTAAGTAATTTTCCCACTAAGATGTAAATAGGAAAGTTGTGATCTAGAAAAACTCAACAGGCACCAGGGCCACAGCTCTGCTAAAAAGTGATACCAAAAGGACTAGAACCCAAAATTTTAGTTTCCTCACACTGTTTTCCCTCAACATCACCACAATTAGTATAGAAGGGCATTTTATTCCAGGTGTCAGCCAAGGCTACAAAAGATATTACCAGATGCAAAAATCAAATCTTTCCCAAGGCAACTTGTAACTGTAACCCTTTAATACTTTTATAATTATTTATGATCTAGAGGTGATAGTAAGAGCTTCGACACTAAACCCTTTACCAATGAGAAAGCTACTGATAATGGACATCGTCCCTATCCCTGATCTACTGCATGATTCTAGAAATCAGGGGTACTCACAATGAAAGGAGTTCTAACTCTGCTCTGTTAACCTACCATGTTATCTAGATACACTTATATATGTGTTTATAGTTCTGCCTTTTATTGGCCGGGGGTGGGAGCGGGGAGAAGGGGTAAGACAGAATCTTGTTGTATAGCCCAGGCTGGCCTAGAAATCACTCTGTAGCCCAGGCTAGCATCGACATCACAATCCTCCTGCCTTCATTTTCCAAGTGCTGTGATTACAAGTGTGTACTACCATGCTCAGCTCTCCAATAATGTAGTGTCCATGGAAACTAAACTGCTGCTCTATTACCTGTAAAGTGTACCTGTCACTGCTTCAAGTGGCAAATGTTTTATCTTACAAATTCACTTGGTTTTCTAAAGTAAAATTCCATTCCCATATGGGTATTAGATGCTCTTTTAGGTTTGGATAATTCATTTGAAATAATCATGTTTTCCTTACTAACAAAATTTTCTAGACATATCTTTTCCAACATGTACTTGTAAATGATCAGTCTTGACTCATTTAATCCCCCTACAAAATCCACACAAGGCACCCAGAGAGTTAGTTCTTGGGATTTTAAAGTATATTACAACACAACACAGGCAGAAGCAGGGGTGGTTGTGAGTCCAGCATATCTGAGCAGCCATGCTCTTTCCTCCCAGCTCTGTGCCTGGCAGCATTGTGTAGGAAGAGCTACTCTTGACTGCATAAAGTAGTCAGTTGTTTGGTTCTCCTAGAGGAAGAGGCTGGTGTCCACCACACCTGCCGGTATGGATCTGAAGACAGAAAGGCATCATTATGCCCCTAGTAATTAGCAAATCTTCACACCCTGGCAGGGATCAGACTTCCTTCCACCCAACCCTCTCAAGATTGAGTCCCAGAAGCCTTTTAGCCCTAAGGATGTGCCATGTCTCAACTCAGCCTCCAGCTGTCTGCCTAGGAACCCACCCAGGTTATCCTTGGAGCCCTCTGGAATCTGAGTCAATGACCAAGGCTGAAGGCTTATCAAATGAACTACCTTATTTTAATCCATCTGGAGTATCAATTAGGAGTAGGAAAAAATAATAATTCTCACAAAAGGCAAACTGGACAAGAGTCTGACATTTTTCTTTGCAGTAACTTGACATCTTTGCTCTTTCAAAGGAGACATTCACTCTTTACCAGCCCAGTGGCCCCTTCCTACTACAACTGTCCCAGGTTCCCATTTGGACAATGACTGTGTATGTCCTCATTCCAACACATTTGCAGAACATTTATCTTCTTTCAGTTTCTTCTGTTGCCTACCAGATTAACAATGAAGCAGTGTAATCAAGAAATACTACTCCTCTTAACCAAGCAGGTACCTGACTTCCTCAGCAAATGGCCACCTCCAAAAGTCATTTTAGCAAAGAAATAATTCATTCCCACATTTACAAAAACAGGCAAAAAAAGAGAAAGAAACATTAGAGAAAATGGTATCTCTGTTACCACCAATTCGTTGCCTATGAAACAGTCAAAGGTCAACAGCAGATGAAAAAAAAGGCCCCATAATTAGAATAACTGAAAGGTAGACATTCAACAAGTAAATACCAAATGGAAGATTCACCAGTCCAGTGGCCATGCATGGCTGCTTCTGCAGCCTTGCCTGCCCTGAGGCAGTGTGGCTTGCATTCCATGTAGAGGAAGAGTAAGCCTTTGGACACTTGCACACCCATTCACTTACATGCAGGAACTCCAGTCCTCCAAAGGAAAGAAACAACAAGCAAGGGTATCGATCAAGCATGCTCCCTCTGTTGGGGACATCAGTCATGCTAGTTCCCACCCATTTAATTACTCTTCTGCTAACCACCCACATTTAATTCAGCTTTAAAGACATGACAACAAGGTCTGAGATTTGAGGGATGTACCTGACTCTCTCTCCCCTCCAGTGGTGGTGGAATCTGATCAGCAAAACCAATCTTCCCTGGATCACCCATAAAGGCACTAACCTCATCCACGTTCTCAAAAGCGTTGATGACGTCATATGGCAAACAGGACAGAAGGTCAATCACAAACCATGTCTTCAGGTAGTTCATGCGGATAAGTTTAGGGTCAGAAATCACCTCCCCTGCTGGTCCCACAAAGGTGGTATGAAAATTCAGCACAATGTCCACCAAAAAGATGACATCCACGATGCTATCCACAACCAGCCAGGCCACGTTGTTCTGCCTGGTTTTAAAGGAGACATTGTAAGGGACCAATATGGCTGTGTAGAAAGTCAAGATCAAGATGATCCAATCCCACGTGGTCTTAAAAACACAGTAATGTAAGATGATGTGAGGGGGAGTCTTTGGTGCCTCTTGCTTGTATTGAGGAAGAATGTCTGAGCCCAGCTGCAGGACCTGAACAGAAAAACACAGTCAACAGAGAACTAAGTTAGAATTTAATCACAAACATGTAACAAATCAGCATCTGTCGTTGACAAATGCTCACAATACTTTGTATGGATCATTAGTCACAATAACAGGTGCTGGAGGACTGTGGGAGAATGTAAGTGAACATGGTAACAGAAATAATCATACTGAAACAATGACAAAATAATGATTTGGCTTACTGTGAGCCAAGCAGTGTACTAAATACTTCATGTGCATTTATTATCTCACTTAATTCTAAACACAGCCTTGTTTTTTAAGCCAATTTTATATATGGGAGGTAAGAAACTGAAGCTCAAGAGAATTAAGCAATGTTATTCAACAAATATTTATTGTTCCAGGACAGGCACAGTTCTAGGCCCAGGACATACAACAGTGAAGGAAAATACAGTGCCTGCTCTCGTGGAGCTCAGTCTAGTAGACAAATCAAGGATCATTTCAAATTGGGCTAAGAACTGACTAAGAGGCTGGGGAAGGGGAGAACAAAGTGATTTCAACAAATGTGACTAAGGAGGAGGGATGAAAGAGTACTTGATTAAAATTTGAATGACAACAAAGAACAAGTCTTTAAAAAGTGAATGGAAAAATTACTCTTGGCAGAGACTATCACTGGTATAATGAGCTCAGAATGGAGCAAATTTTATTTTCAGAAAAAGAAAGAACACTGGTCTGAATGAAGTGCACTGAGGTAGCTAGGAACACAATACAGGAACACCAAGAAGAAAGTCAAACCAGACCACACAACCCTAGTGAGCCAGGGAGGTGTTGGATTTTATTCCCGGTACAGCTGGCTATAACTAGAGGGTCTTGTGCAAGTGAACAATAATCCGAGACATGCTTTTAAAAGTCCATTCTACCTGCTGTCCATATAATGAATTAGGGCAAAGGATTTAAGGAAAAACCATCACCCCAGGAAAAGATAGAGTGATGGAGACAGTCTGGTTTTGGATATGTTTTGGACTAAAGCTAGCTGGATCCACTAAAAGCTAGAAAAAGAAGAAAATAGAGTAATGAAGGGTATCCACTACTGTATGCCACTATCTCAACATGGCAGCTGACCCTGAGTAGATCCTACAGGACTGCTTTTAAGTGAATGAATGAATTTCCAGGACATGGAGCCAGCAAGAGATGGAGCCAGGAACCAAAACTCAGTCTAGCTGCATTCAAAACACATGGTATTCTCATCAACACTGCATTTTCCTGAGTAATTTAGGTTTTTAAGGAAGCAGACACAGTGCAAGAAGTCCAAAGAAGGCTGGCTTTCAGTATCATGATGTCTTTCACCATCAATAGTCAAGGGCAAAATGCCCTTCACTATTAATAACAGACCAAGCTGAAAGGGACTCCTCAGTTGCTCTTCTGTGCCAGTGACAAATTATAATAAATCTCAGGGTAAAACCCCCTCTTAAGTCATGGAAACTTCTTTTTACTTCTAGAGGCTGAAGACCCTCAAGTAAATATAAATATTCTAGTATCCCTATGTAAATATTCTTGTATCTCTATGGCTGGCCCCAGATCTTAAAGTGGCAAAGGAAAGCTAGATATGAACAGAGTGAATCTTTGGGTAGGACTCTTTCCACCCTTCTCAACATTGCACAGAACTCTTCTAGGCTTGGGATTTAATTCTCTCGCCCATGAAAAGGAACTTACACAGGTGTGAATAAGGCTGCTTTGGCCCCAAGACCTCAGGCAGGAAAGAAGATTGGCTTCTTAAGAAAAATCAAGGAAAATCAACTAAATAGGATCTGACTTCTGAAAAAGTAGAGTCTGTAAGAACAACTAAAAGCCCTGGACATTGTCTACAAAGCAAATGTAAAAGACTGAAAGGTGAGAAAAGAAAACAAACTGGTTAGGGATGAATGTCACAACAGTGAGTTCCTTGGGCTTTCTTTTTGTCTCCTATGTTCCCAGATTTGGAGATGAAGAAGGGAGCAACCTGAAAATACCAAGGTGCACAAACAATAACAGTCCTAACAAAAACCCATTCTCTCCAACCAAAAGACTGGGAAACAGGCAGGCTCAAAAGACAGAATGCTTTTATACAATAACTACTCTTCACAAAAACTGCACACTTCAGAAAAAATTGTGACCAATTCCCACCCAGGCCAGCAAAGGGCCTCCAGAAAATCTGACTTCTTCCTTCTCAAGGCTGCGATGAAACCACCAACCTCCCTCCCCCAGGGGTACATCATGCCAAAGAAGGCCCAGTCAGGAGCCTGAACTTCTGTCCCCACCCAGAAGCAATGAGGCCCTACAACCCAGGAGGTATCTGCATAAGATTCATAGTGAGATCCTATCTTGAAGAAGCAAAACAAGCAGACAAACAAAAAGAAATGCAATGATTTCTGTATGTTTATCTGATATTGTGTGACCTTGCTGAATTGACCCATTAGTTCTAGAAGTTTTTATGTGTGTTCTCAGAGATGTTCTGTATAGACCATTATATCATTTGAAAAGAAGGATAATTTTATTTCTCCCTTTCTTATCTAGATTACTTTTATTTCCTTTTTTGCTGTATTGCAGTACAAGTGTTGCACTGTATGGCAGTACAATGTTGAGAGTTGATACCCATCTGCCTTGTTCCTTATCTGAAGAGGACAATATTTGCTTTTTCACCATATAATGTTAGCTGTAGGGTTTTCTTTGGTAAATGTTCTTTGTCAAGTTTAGATATTTCCCCTGTATCCCTATTGTTTTCCTGACATGAATGGGCTTTGCATTCATGATCCAAATATGCACGCACCAAGTAAGAAAGCAAAATGCAGGAAGCAAAAACTGATAGAACTCAGAGAAGAAATAGATTTACAAAAGACCTCTCTTGACAACTGATGGAACACTAGAAAGAAAGTTAGCAAGAATGGCTGGATGTGGCTCAGAGGTAGAGCACTTGCCTAGCATATATAAGGCCCTGGGCTTGATCCCCATTACTGCAAGGAAGGAAGAAAGGAAGGGAGGGAGGGAGGAAGGGAGGAATTTAGCAAGGATACTGTCAACCAATAGGATTTAATTGACATTTATAGAACACACTCCACAACAGGAGCAGAATTTATATTCTCTTCTAGGGCACAAAGATCATTACTCAGGATAGATCAAATGCTAGTTCATAAAACAAACCTCAACAAATTTAACACCATAAAATCATATAGAATCCATTTGATTCCAGCTACAATGGAGTCATATAGAAATGCGTCACAGAAATATAACAGGAAAACATCCCAACACTTGAAAACTATAACATATTTTTTAGTAATCTAAGGGCCAATGAGCAGGTATCAAGAGATATTTTTTTAAAATATGGAATTTGATGAAATAAAAATTCAAAACTTGTAAATTCAAAACCTGATATCAAAACCTGTGTGATATTAATGAAACAGTACTGAAAGGGCAATGTATAGCACTAAATGCTTAACCAAGAAAAGTGAAGAAGTCTCAAATCGATCATGTAACCTCCCACCTCAAGAACCCACATAAAAAAGAGCAAAATAAAACTAAAGCAAGCAGAAGGAAATAATAAATATAAAAGCAGAAGTCAGTGAAATTGACACATTAAAAACAAGAGAGAATCAATGATCTTTAAAAAGATTAATAAAATAAAATTAAAGTAACATTGGGCCTGGGAGTGTAGCTAAGTGGTAGTGTACATGCTTATCATGTATGAAGCCCTGGGTTCAATTTTGGTTCACCAAAAAATAGACAAAATAAAATAAAAGTAACATTGGCAAACCTGTAGCAAGACTGGCAAAGAAAAACAAATTACCAATATCAAGAATGGAACAGGGATTATCACTATAAACCCTACAGACAACAAAATGATATTAAGGGACTGCTATAAACAACATTACACACATGAATTTGACTAATTAAACAAAACAGATCTCAAAATACACAAACTGCCACCACTCCCAGTCCTATGCCTATTAAGGGAATTGAATTCAGAATTTTAAAACTCCCGAAAAAAAAAATCTCCAGCCCAAATGGTTTTAATGGATAATGGTTCCAAACTTTAAACAATAATTAACAGCAATCCTACACAATCTCTTCCAGAAAATAGAAGCAGAGGGAATATGTCTCATTTCATGAAACTAGTGGTACCTCAATTCTAAAGATAATCCAAAAAAAAACTGCAAATATTCTTCATAAATATAGATAGAAAAATCCTTAACAAGTAACAGCAAAGAGAACTCAGAAATATTTAAAAAGAATGACTGAGGACATATGTTCCAGGAATGCAAAGCTAGTTCAATATTAAAAATCAACCAATGTAATCTACCACATTATCAGGCTAAAGAAAAAATATCACACACTCATATCAACTCACACAGAGAAAGCATTTGACAAATTTCAAAGCCCATTCATGATTTTAAAAAAACTCTCAGGAAAACAATAGGGATACAGGGGAAATATCTAAACTTGACAAAGAACATTTACCAAAGAAAACCCTACAGCTAACATTATATGGTGAAAAAGCAAATATTGTCCTCTTCAGATAAGGAACAAGGCAGATGGGTATCAGCTCTCAACATTGTACTGCCATAGAGTGCAACACTTGTACTGCAATACAGCAAAAAAGGAAATAAAAGTAATCTAGATAAGAAAGGGAGAAATAAAATTATCCCTCTTTTCAAATGATATAATGGTCTATACAGAACATCTCTGAGAACACACATAAAAACTTCTAGAACTAATGGGTCAAATCAGCAAGGTCACACAATATCAGATAAACAACAGAAATAATTGCATTTCTTTTTGTTTGTTTGCTTGTTTTGCTTTTTCAAGATAGGGTCTCACTATGAAGCCCTGGGTAGCCCACTTCTAATTGCTCAAAAATTACTTAGGTGTAAATAAAACAAAACATGTATAGGACTTGAGGGCTGGCAGAGTGGCTTAAGCAGTAGAACCTACCTAACAAACATGAGGCCCTGACTTCAAACACCAGTAGTGCCAAAAAAAAAAATGGATAGAACTTGAAT